AACCCCTTTAGGCTTTATTAATAAACGAAAGATAAATAAGGGTTTTTAAACGGCGGTAAACGGACCGACGATCCCGTAGCTACGGAAGTTAAGCTAGACCTAATAAGCGCTTATAAGCGACTTCTTATACGGGGCTTTAAAGCTTTACGGTTTAATAAAAAGATCGGGATTAATAACCCTCGGGAAGTAGTAATATCCTAAGAAACGAAGATAATAACCCGGGAAGCGGATAACGTAACCCGGGAAACGGAAACGGCGGAGGAGGAAATCCCGGGAAAGAATAAGACCCGGGGAAAGAGCGCTAGGGAGCTAGAGGCGCCCGGCGTAGTACCCCGGAAAACGAAAGGCCCTAGGAAAGAAACGGCGGACGAGGAGGAGACCCCGGGATATAGTATAACCGCCGGAAAAGAAAGGAAGGAGGCCATACCCGGGAGGCATTAATACCCCGGGAAACGTACGAACGAAAGAAGGCCTAGGAATATACTAATACCTTAAGCGGCGGAGTTAATAACCCGGGGAGCGAGTAATATATCCCGGAGGACGGAGGTAATACCTAAGGATACGATACGTATCCTAAGGCGCGGGAAGAAAACGGGTTAGGTTATTAGAGCTAGACGCCGAAGAAAAGGGCGGTAAGGCGTACTTTTTTTTTTTCCAGGAAGGGACCTTATATAATAAGCTATGCCTATAGTAAGGCCTTAGCTAATACTAGGGCATAATACGTAATTAGGCCCTTAGTACCTACGGAAGATAAGGCCAGCTATTATAGGTACGGTTTATACGGCGTACCTTTTTCTCTTTTTTCTCCTCGTCTAGCTTTAGTTTATTAACATACGGCTTTTACCTAGCGAATAGCTCTTAAAACCATAACACTGGGCGACTTTTTTCTTTATGAAATATTTACTTATTACTATCGCTTATTAACGTATAAGTATATTAAACGCGATAAAGCGAAAAGTAAGATATTACGCGAATCGATTATCGCGTTAACGTATAACGTACTATACTTAATCGTTGAAATCGATCTTATACTACCTTAAATATATAAATTTAGCTTCTTTACGCGGAAATAAAGTAGGAAACGTTAGTAAAAATAACGTAGTTAAATGTATAAACTCGTTAATAAGGGTTTAGCGAATAAAAAGTATAGATAAATAATAGGTACCTATAAGTTTAACGGAATAACCTTTAAAAATAAGCGCTTCCTTTAATTCTAACTCTAAACACTTTATCTTAATTTACTTTAACGTAACGTTTAGTATAATGGATTTATCGTATTAAGCCTCTAACCCTTCTAGGTCGCCCTCCGTAAGTAGGTTAATCTAAAGCGCTTAATCGTTATCGACGAAGTTTTAAATATTAAGCTACTTAAAAATATTACCGTCGTTAAGTAGCTCTTTTAACGTAGCGCGATTTTATTTAAAGTCTTTATAACCTAGGTAGTATAGTAGTGCGGTAAGACATGCTCTCTTAATACATCACGTAATACGCTACGATAGGCCTTATGCCTATATAGAGTAACCATAGCTCCCGTAAGTACGGGCTATACTATACTTATTATCGAGTTTATTACCTAGCTAGATTACTATCTTTATTATTTTTACCTTAATTAAAGATTCGTTTTTATTATTAGATTCGTCGTTTTCTAATTAGTATATCTATCTTAGTTATAGGTACTTAAGTTACTTCGTCGTATCGCTATAGCCGAATAAGTAACTTTTGCGTTTTACCCCCTTTCTCCCCTTACTTCCTATACCTTCGGGCTAGCGATTACTATATCTCTACGACCAAGGGGTATAGCTAAGATATAATAACTACATTAGATTCCTTATTTCTCGATTAGTATAGTAGTATTAGTTTTATCTATCTTGGACTATCGTAAGAGCTATAGTCGTCGATAGAGTATACTTTCGAGTGAACCTATCCGGGCCTCTAGTATCGCGTACGCTCTGCTCCTCCTTAGTAGTTATATTTTAAATACTTAATCTATATTTCGATAACGCGTTAACGTATTTTAAATTTAATTCGAAAGTAGGTTATCTACTCGGGATTTTACGCTAACTCGTATAGGTATAATAAAACGATATTAAGATATTAAGGGAAGAGGAAAAGATAGTCGTATATTATATTAACGTTACGTATAAAGTATACGACGTAGCCGCGATATTTATACTATTAACCGCGGATTATAAGTATATTTATTATTATATAAACCTATGTAATAAGTAATTCTTCGATTATTATTAGCTTTAGTAATAAATTAAAAGAAGAAAGGATACTAAAGTTAAAATAATTACTTACGTTAAAAAAGAAGAGCTTATTTACGCGCTTCTTTTAATCTTTTTTATAATAATACTTATAAATACTCGCGGTATTTAAATTTATATTAAATTTATATTTCTTATAACAATTATAATATTTACGTCATTCTTACTTTAACGTTAATTAAAACTATATTAAAATCGCATAATCAGTATCGTTAATTACGCTAACGTTAAGGTCTTTCTCCTACCGTAACGGCTTAATTATAAACGAACTTTAACGATTAAAAACATTATTAAGTTCTTAAAAGCGAGCGATATTTAAGGGAAAGGTCTAATTAAAAGGTCGGCTTAGGCGCGGTTACTCTCGCGTTAGTTTTAACGTAAGAGGTTCTAACGTAAGGGGCCGTAAAGGTCGGCTTCGACGTACTTATACTTACTTTAGCGTTAGTTCTAACGTAAACGCGCGTAAAGGTCGGCTTAAACGAACTAACTCTCGCGCTTATTTTAACGTAAGCGTACGTAAAAGTCGGCTTCGACGAACTAACTCTCGCGTAGGTACTCGAGGAAGTCGCCCTTGGAACGTTAGTTCTAGCGCTATCGTTAAATCCGTTAATTATAATTATATTATTAACAAAGAAAGTAAAGAAATAAGAAAAGGATTATCGTTATTACGTCGAATTACCTTATACCGTCTTCGAGTTTACTATCGTAATACGTTACTTACGCATAAAGCTACCTCTTTAACGCTTAAACTATATCTAAAGTTACGTAGTAATAAAATATAATCGATAATAAGTAATATTTAATCGCAAAGCTAGTTAAAGCGTCTTAAGCATAGGATCGGATCGGGAATCCTATATAAAATTAACGATAAAGTATAAACTATTAATATAGAATATTAACTTAAATAAAACGGCGTATACTTTTACGGCAAGAGAAATAGTTTTTTATAGATATAACGTAATTTCGTAAATTAATAAATTATTCGATAACTTAAATTCTTCCGTAAGTACGACATTTTTTAACTTAAAGCGACTTTATTTTAATTAAACTAGGGATAAATGATAAGGATAGATTATAAAATATGGAAAAGAATAGGAATTATATAAATAAAAATAGAAACATATAAATAAACGCGTTAGTAAATATACGTAAGGATCTTAGAAGGTAATAGGGATACGCTAAATAAGAAAAACTCTATTTATCCCGCTGTTTTTATTAGGTGTACGTATTTTTAAGGACCTATAGCGCGTTTTTTAGCTAATAAAAACAGAGTTTCCCCTAAATGATACCCCTTTATAGGGTTATTTATAGGGTTAATTATAAGGTTATTTACAGACTTATTCATAGGGCTATTTACAGGGATATTTAATCTCGTAATTAATTAGCATGACAGGTGGTTATGCATATTATAACTATCCTCCAGATAGGATAATAAAAAGAGCTAAATATAAAAGTTATTTGATTAGTTATAATAATGAAATTAAGTTATTAATTTATCTGTAATTCAGATAAATATATTAATATAAAAAGAACAACTTTAATAAGAAAGATAAATTATAAATTGAAGTGAAAATAATCGAGTTAGTAATTTTACTTTTAATTATTTATAATATAATCTATTTTTATAGAAGTTATATTTATTTTATATAAACATATAGCTCATTATAGTATATTATATAATATACTAGGAGAGTATATCTTCCTATTTAGAGGATAGTTATACTAATTCATTATATGAAGTAATACACAGTAACAATTTATGTTTTTTATATATTATAATTTAAACTATGTTACGTAGCTGGTGAAAGCAACGTATGACTTACTAGGTTATACGTAAAGAGAGCAATGGAATGCGGGTAAGAAGGTGTGTATTGACTGACTAGAAAGAAAGAAATCTACTAGAGAGTATAGAGCAATCTATAGGTACATGTAAAAGTGCTTACCCAGCTTAGGTAAGCTGAGTGGTTGATACTAGGTGCGAGTACCTACGTAACAAACTATTTATTTCAATTATTTAAATTATACTAAAAAGGAGCTCATTATTATAACTATATATAACTAAGCTTATATACTTATACTTTAGTATTAACTAGACTTTTATTATAAATATAACTTAATATATAAAATAAAAATAAAATACTGGATTTTAAATAAATTAAATTAAAGTATTTTAATGTATTTATAAATTTATCTATTCTTAATTTTTTAATAAACTCTTTTTATTTATTTTAATTAATTACATTACTACTCTCACTATCTTTAGTAATACGTAAATATATTAATATTTACATCTATGTTATTGCGTAACCTATGCTGCACATGGTAATAACATAGGGCACTTACCTTTGACGGTACGTAAGATGCTGTATCATAAGCTACGCTACGGCATCTCGTAGGTATATCGAACATGTCCGATACAGGACCTTGGAGCATTACAACCTCAGTAATCCGACACGCTCCTGGTCCCTAGGTCAACCCGTTTATCATCAACCATACTGTAGATGACAGATCAACAACAACTCCGTATACCTCGTCCTCCTCTCTGCTTCAACCCTTCCGGTTATAGTCAGATCGACTCTGCCTATGTACAGTGCTATCCGTCCAGCGTAAGCTACTGGGGGCAGAGGAGTCTCGTGTCTTACCCATCTATGCGGGCTATTGTGGTATCAGTGGAACTTGTAGAATCGACTTGAGGGTGTGTTAACAATGAGGTCCTTACCCAAGAGATGTAGAATGCCACCATTGCTCCACCCCTCGTTCTCGAGACACCATCGTCGAGTCCTGACGACCTCCACCGCCTTTCGGTATGCCGCGAGACGCACCATAGATCTCAATTCCCCGTTTACGAATTCCTATGATCCTAACGAGGAGGGCCGGGGGCCTATGTTCTCCAAGAACACGTTTGGCGTCCCGCAATTCTATCCTCGAGACCTTAAGAAGCGGGTCGATGAGTATGTGGTCGGACAGGATCGAGCCAAGAAGACGATATCCTCCGTCATATTTAACCACTACCAGAATATGCGGCGACGCCACCACCAAGAAGTACAGGAACAGAAGCGAGAGGAAAGGCTTATGCGGCAGGCCATTGCCCGCGATCGAATTGCGAGAGAGAGGGAATCCCATCCTGCTGAAGGTTGGCACTTCCCAATATCCAAGTTTCATCGATACCGCGCTGACGACGACTTCGAAGACGAATTCCCCGGCCGTAACGATTCGATGCAGCATATACATCAGACATGGCAGCACTCTGAACAGAGGGCTGACTTTGACACATCTGAAGACACTACCCGAGCCCCTACGGTCAAGATCGACAAGAGCAATCTGCTACTCATAGGCCCAACTGGTGTTGGGAAGACATACATCCTCGAGTACGTGCTTACCTACTATTCAACTTCGTGAGCGCGCCCTAACCCAGCTCTGGCAGGACACTAAGCAAGAAGATCAATGTTCCATTTACGATATGCGATTGCAACTCCTTTACCCAAGCCGGCTATATCGGCCAAGATGTTGAGACCTGTATCGAGCGGTTATTGATCGAGTCCAATTACGATATATCGGCCACCGAGCAGGGCATTGTCGTCCTTGACGAATTCGATAAGATTGCCAAGCGCGAGACTATGAATGGAAGAGATGTCGGTGGCGAAGGTGTGCAGCAGGCACTGCTGAAACTAGTTGAGGGAACCAAGGTCACCATCAGCGTCAAGGATAACCGCTCATCATCCTCTCGTTCGGCCACCCCGATTACCTCGAACTACGCCAACCCAGGATCCTCGTCCTCGGGGCCTCAACCTACACCTCCATCGGGCAAGGTCGACCAGTACACCATTGACACCAGCAACATATTATTTGTGATGTGTGGTGCCTTCGTCGGTCTCGACAAGGTGGTATTAAATCGAGTAGCTAAATCATCGATGGGCTTTGGCTCCGAGATTCGGAGTCGATCAACATCTGGCAAATCAGACCTGCCACCAGAATTATTCAATCACCTCCCGCACCGGTCCCCGAACGATGAAGACACCTCCGCTCTAACGGCGCTCGACCTCGCGACGCCAGAGGATCTGCAAAAATTCGGGTTCATCCCAGAACTGATCGGGCGTGTGCACAACATAGTGGCACTCTCGCCACTCTCGCGATCTGATCTGCTACGCATTCTAACTGAGCCGCGCAACTCACTTGTGGCTCAGTACACGGCTCTATTTCAAACGTATCCATCGAGCCTATGCTTTACGCAGAAGGCGCTGGAGGCGGTTGCAGAGCGAGCTGAGAAGGCGCAGACGGGGGCGCGGGGGCTCAAGATGGAGATAGAACGAGTGCTGGCGGAGGCTATGTTCGATGCACCTACGCCTTACGTGCTCGTGACAGAGAAGGCGGTTCGCGGCGAAGAGAAAGTCGGGTACTGGGGGAAAGACGGACGGCTCGAGGTCGAGGCACGGATACGCGAAGAGGATGGTCTAGACGGCGACGCTGACACCGACTTAGGACGACGGCAGCAGGGCTTTGGCGATGGAAGACAGATTCTGAGGAGCCTAGGGCAGTACCGGGAGGCGGGACAGAGCGGTGCTTGAGAGGGACGACGAATGGAGCTTACGGTTGCGGGTTTCGGGGCCTTCAGCGTACAGCTACGCCAATACCCCCCCGTTGTCTATGTATCTCAAGGGCTCAATGGTGAAACGAGCCGAGAAACTAACTTAGGAGGGCTCCCCTCCTCTCCTTTGTTTGTGGCTGGTGGGCTCAAGGGGTTTCGTATACCACTTGGCAAGGACGTCATTTGGCTCCTCGGCACGATGGTCTTTTTCTCTCTCCTACACTCAGGCAGGTTGTGTCCGGCGTTTCGTAAGATTCTCAAGTCGGGAATCTTGTGTTGAATATACGACATCCAAGAGAGAAAAACAACACCATTCATGAGCATATATGAGTAGGATGTACACCTCAAGCTCGCTCGCTTGGCAAGCGATTCATACACACAGAAGAGGTATACGCCCGGGCCTACCATTCTACCCGACATAGAGACGGTCCCTCAGTCCAAATTCTAGACATTTAAGAATTTCTGCGTTATGCGTATGACACAAACCTCTACTCATCCACTGTGTTGCGGATGCTGCCTTGGTTTTGGTGCTGCCACTACTGCTCTTCGGCAAGTCCGCTGTAGTTGCCGAGTGGTTACATGCCCAGATAGCCATCGAAACGCGACCATGCTATTCCTCTGCGGTCGTATTTCTTCCCGTCCCTTTTCGTGTTGAACGGGGCGGTCGCCTACGTCATCCAATCGAACCCGTCCTTACATACAAACGAACAGAAACGAGGTGGCAATATAGAGAAATGGTCTTCCGCGATTTGGCCGGCCGGTGGCAGCTCTAGTGTTTGGGCGCTGATTGAACCATACCCTTGCCGGAGTACCCATCAGACGAGAGGCCAGTAAGAGGCTCGGCTCGTTGGTTCTGTCACGTGTACCGTATTAGCTCGATAGATATCATCAAGAGCAGGGCTCGGGGATGGAGAAAAACGAGTTTGCTCACCTTAAGGAACTCGTTCGAGGCTTCCTGCCATTCCCGAGTCATGGTGCTTGGTGCCGGACCAGCAAATGAGCGTATCGTAGCAAACAAGGCGAAACTGACAAGCATGCCGACGGCCGTGTAGATGGCGACCTTGCGCCCCTCGTCGGCCGGAGGCATAGCGCGGGGGCCGTGAGGACCGAAGGCAATCCAGTACGCTACAGACGCAGTGTTAATTAATTGGTGATGCCTTCGAACAAGCGACGTGTGAGTTGCTGGATTCGGTAGCGGGGCCCTATCCTAACTTTAGGGAGGTCTCGTAGGATGTTTGAGTAAATAGTGTCTTGCAACGTCCGGAGATGTAGCTCGAGGGTCGCAACAGCGGGTGATATCTGAGGCGTTCTTGGAACGGAGGTGCCACATACCGGCCTTCTTTTCCTGTACCGTAAGCTCGGTCCAGCTCTCCTTCATGCGGTCCCGCAAAGCCATCCACAACTCAGCCTGCTCGGTTTGGGGCATACCCTCCCATCGCTTCTCGATGTTGGCTAGCGTCGGCCTCGAGATGGCATGTGTCGAGGCGGCAGCACGGGGCGCCGTGATCATGGTTGATCGGACGGTAGTAGCCCGGAGACCGCGAAGTAGAGATGTGCGCATCATCGCGATTTATGAGTCTAGCAAGGAAAATAGACGCAGGCAAGGTAGAGCGGAGACGGGACCAACCCAGAGGCGATTGAAGAGGCGAAGTATGTACGAGGGCCGCTTTGGACGGCGGGTACCCTGGGCGATGGGTGCTGCTGTTATTGAAGATGCCGAATCCAATTGAGGACTTTGCTCTTTTTTTTGGGCACAACCGGAGACCCGATGAATGAATTGAGTAAGGAATTGGTGGGCGGGCAGCTTAATCGTCGTACGACTGATGTGGGGCTGATTGGAGGAGTAGATTATGTGCCTCAGGCAGCTCTACAGCTGCAATAGATCCCGAGCAACAGCCATGTATATGCCTAGTTGAAAGTACCTACCTAACTTAGCAATGGTTTTACATAAATGAAAGGTACGTTAATAAACGGGCGGGTAAGAACATAGTGTATAATATACTGAGATACGTCTAACTGGTATATTATAGATACTTAATATATATTAAACTTTAGAATACGTCGAAGTACTCTATACTTCTTTACGTTTTCATACTGAAAACCTAGAACCTCTCCGAAGGCTAGAGAAAAAGATATAAGTAAGAATCGACGCTTATTTAAACTACGAAAAGGGATTAGTAATTAACTCTTAGTTAAATAATGATAAACTAACCTTGATTGATTTATATATAGATAAGATTAAAATAAGTAGAAAATAAATACGTTAATAGGTAAATAGGGATTATGTTACGTATGCTATAGTTTTATTAAATGTATCTCTTTTAAGCATGTCGTAAGAGCTTTTAACTAATTAAAACGTATATACGAACTTTTAGCTAATAAAAATAAAGTTTTCTTTAAATTTATAAAGCCATTTACAGGGCTATTTATAAAGCTATTTATAAGTTTATATATCCTTATAATAAATTGTTTATTTACTCTAGTAATTAATATAGTAGTACGGTAAGATATACTCTCTTAATATATCACATAACACGTTACGATAGTGTAGTGGTACGGTAAGACATGCCCTCTTGATGCATTACGTAACATACTACGATAGGCCTTATGCCTATATAGAGTAACTATAGCTCCCGTAAGTACGGGATATACTATGTTTATTATCGAGTTCATTACCTAACTAAATTACTATCTTTATTATTTTTACCTTAATTAAAGATTCGTTTTTATTATTAGATTCGTCGTTTTCTAATTAATATATTTATTTTAGTTATAAGCGCTTAAGTTACTTCGTCGTATCGCTATAGCCGAATAAGTAACTTTTACGTTTTACCTCTTTTCTCTCTTTATATTTTATACCTTCGGGCTAACGACTACTATATCTCTACGACTAAGGGGCATAGCTAAGATACGATAACTATATTAGATTCCTTGCCTCTCGATTAATATAGCGATACTAATTTTATCCGTCTTAGATTATCGTACGTACTATAGTCTTTAATAAAATATACTTTCGAGTAAACCTATCCGGGTCTTTAGTATCGCGTACGCTCTATTCTTCCTTAGTAGCGATTACCCTATAACTTTTTCGACCCCTTAACCTTTAGTTTACGGAATTTTTATTACGTTATTAAGATTTAAAGGATATCGATCGCCGTCGGCGCCGTTATTTAACCCGCGAAGTAGCCCGCGTTTTACGTTAAATAAAGTATCCCGCCTTATAGTTATTTATTTACTATAGGAAGGTACGTATAAGCCCGGGAACCTTTATTACGATATTATAACCGCTAGGATACTACTTAGCCCTTAATACTTATAACGTTAATAAGCTATCGATATTACGATATAATACGACGACTAAACCGCGTTTATACCGATTAGGATATTCCTCGTATCGTTATTTACCTACCTATACGGAGGAACCCGTAAAACCCGGGAGAACTTTCGTCGTAATATAACCGCTACTAGGAATAACACTTAGCCTTCGATACTAACCGCTTCCTCGAACCGCTAATAGCATAATATATCTCGTACGAGTAAATAAAGCTCGTAGCGATTAAGGCAGCCCCCTTATAGTTATCTACTTACTATATAAAAGACGTATAAACGCCTTAGTATAAATTACGATAACCTATACGACCCGCTACTCCCTTATTAATACTAAAAGCGGATAAAGGCTAATAATAATTATGCCTTTAACCGATTTTACGATAGCTTCTTTTCCCTCTAAACCTATTAATCGATATAAATTAAATATATAGATATTAATAACTCATTATACTAGAGGTATTTTAGGATACCTAAGCGTAGCGACTCGACGATATAAAATACGATATAATATAAATATTTATATTAATAATATAAATAAGATTAATAAACTAATAATTATTAATAACCGATAGTTTTAAAGAGAATTAAGAATTAATATTAATAGGACTACGTAAATATAAAGGATTAAAGAAACGGAACTAAAGTCGAATTAATAGATATACCTATATATAAGCTAGCCTTATATTACTAACTAATAATTAATATAACGAGAAGTATTAATATAGGTATAAAACGACGCCTAGCGGTAATACCGTTAATATTATTAAATAGCTCTCGTTAGATCGAAACCGGCTTATAGCTATAACCGGTATCGTATCTAGCGCGATCCTTTACTCGGGATTTATTCCTTATACATATTACCTTAACGAAGGTTATACGTTAGGAGTTCTGGACCTTAATAAGAGGAATTATCGTCGACTTATTTATAATAATTAAATTATTAATCTAAGGAATATATATCGTACTTTAATTAGGCGTTAGCCGACTAGAGAAGCTCGTATAATACCCGGACCCTATCGATCGGAATAATATAATAAATAATAATATACTTATACTAAAGGAAAAGTATTAGGATATAAATAATAACTATTATACCTTTACCCTTATGTTAAATAATAAGACCCTTACTATCTCCCTTTTTACTTTATACCTTATACCGTTAGATTAAACGGAATCTATAACTAAGAAACGGAATAAATCGCTATTAAGACCCGAAGTAATAAAAACTAAACTATTAATAAAGACCTTAAGAATCGATATTAATTCTCCGCCCCTATATCCGCCCGAAAAGGAAAAGAACGACGATAAAACTCTTACTTAACTACCTCTTAACCGCGGCTCTATACTTATCCCGCTAATCCCTATAGTATTATTTTAAAATAATAATAACGGGGCCTTTAGTAGTTAGAATATACCGGTAACTATCCCGATTATCGTAATACTAGCCATTAGATTCCCTAACCCTACCGATTATCTTAGGCTTAAGTTTAACGAATATAACGTAATCTAATAACTAAAAAAGGTAAATCGATTATTTAACCGCTACCGTATAAACGATAACGATAAGATTAAGGAAATCGGTAAATAAACTACGATTAAAACTATTAAGAAGCGTATTAACGACGTTACGAAGGATTAAACGATCTAAAGAATTATCGTTATAGCCTTAAAGTACCGCTTTAAAATTACCGATAAACTAAGCTAAACTAACGTTAAACGTAAACTCGTATAGCTAAAACGAAGCAACGTAATTAACGATCCTAAGGCGATCTTTACGTATCTTATAAACTATAAACGTCTTTCTAAACTCGTAAACGATAACGGAAAGCTTTCCTAAAAAGTAAGATACTTAACCGATAAATTCCGGATATCCTTAATTATAAAGTTCTATAAGACGGGAAACTATAACTATAATAAGATCGGAAATATCGATTACCGGATTCTTTATACCTAGCTTTATAAGTAAGCGGAACGTCGTATAGTAATATAAATTACCGATAGGACCTAAGCCGAAGAACGACGATAATAAAAAATGGTAACTTTCGAAAAACCCGAGAAGCTTATAATATAGATAATTTAACGATTAACGACTCTTAGCCTTTAGATGCCTTTACTACCGCCTCCCTCGTAGCCTAAACCCTTTTACAGCTACCTAAGTACTAGTTAGGAAGCTAGTATATAGGCCTTTTACGACCGATTTAACGCTTTAAAAATAAAGATAACTTCGTAAAACTACCGTTAGGAAAGTAGCTCTTATAGCCTTAAGGATACGTACGGCGCCGATTAATAATATTAATAGGAAAACCCGTTCCTAGTAAACGCGATTCGGAACCTAAGTCTTTATAACCTATAAATTAATAGGAGAACCCTAGTAAGCTTTAGACGTAATATCATATTAAACTACCGAAGCATACGTAATAAGATTCTATTAACCTAAATAAATAACTATAAGGAATTCGAATATTAGTTTTATAATACTTTCGATCGGCTTTATAACTATAACCGCTACCCGTTATTAATAAATATAACGTAAAATCGGTTCTACTATAGGAATAATAAGCGACTATACTACCTCGAGAACGGAAACCCGGATAAGTTAAAATTAACGCTAATCCTAGGATCGATTATTACCTAAGCTAAGCGTAAAAAAGAACCGATCGCTTATTATATCTTATTTTACGTATATTAAAGTAAGGAATCTATAGAATAAGTACGTAGGATAGCATATTACTACTTAGCCGAAAAGCTAAAGCTTATACCCCTTAACCTACGATACTTTAAGAACGAGGAAGTAATATTAAAGCAGAAAGAGATATTAAGAACTATATCGGAAATTAACGTTATTTAAATAATCGAACGTAAATATAACTACGAATTATACGAGACGGAGATCTTAGGTTATAATTAGATTAAGGGTTTTATCGACGACGAAGGTATTTATTATTATAAGGGTATTATTAAAACGAACCTAGTCGAAGTTAACGTAATTAAGTAAGTTAAAGGTTCTAACGGCGAATATATTAAAAGAGAAGTACCTGATTAAGAGGATATAAAAGTCCTATCGTTATAACCTAAACGTAGACCGACTAAAGCCGGTAAGAACGCTACTTCGAATACGAACGACCTAGCTAGGAAAGCGAAGACTATTAACGAATTATTAAAAGAGTTTTAACTAGATAAAATTAATAAGAATAATAGGAAACGTTTCGAGGTTTCGTAGGACGACTTAATTAA